GCTTCACCTGCGTGGTCTGCGCCTGTCCCCTGGAAGGCACCTCCTTCATTGTGGACCAGGCCAACCGGCCTCACTGCGTCCCTGACTACCACAAGTGAGGACCCACTTACATGCATTCTGGGCCCCACTCTGGGTTCCATCCATGCTTTGGTAGCCAGGTTAACAGCTGGTCCCAGGCTAGCTCCAAATCTCTGGTTTGGCTTTCTGGCCCCACAGCCTGCCTGTTGATAGCAGGGAACAGCACATCTGGATTTAGCTGTGCAGTGGCCCTAGGCCTGTATAGCTAGTCCTGCTACTGGCTGCTCCTGCCCTAGCTCTCTCTCCAGAGCTTCTTTGGGTGTGTATTCAGTGTTCAGCAGTATGTACTGGCATGACTTCATTTCACACACAGGCTGAGTTCTGAAAGTTCCTTTGGTGATCAACTGTTGGGAGCACTGGTTTCTCCTTAGAAACACAGTGGCCACTTTCTTAGGCTGGCTGGCAAAATACTGTCACATAGTAAAGGGCCGGCTGGGAAAACGGCTGTCTGCCCCCACCTCAGGGATGCATTTTCAGGATTCCATGTGGGGTGACTGGGACTCCATGCCCCTCTGCACTGCCTGGGGTTCAGGGTAGACATACCCACATGTTGGGTTGGGGGTAAGCCAGGGTGGGAGCTGGAGGCTCACCTCCCACACGTTTCCTGCTGAGCTACAGTGTGGAAGGCGGAGATGCGGCTCTGGTGGGAAAGAACACCGAGTCAGGTGTGTGGGAGATGGGTGCTGCGAGGGTGAGTGGGGAGGCAGAAAGTTCCCCTTGATGAGGACTGGCTGTGGCGCTCAATCTTGGTCATTTTTCCTGAGCTCCCTCCCCTGGAGATGCAGGACAGAGAGGTCTGCCATGTGGCCCTCCAACCGCAGTCACAATACCTTGTGCTTTCTCAGGGGGCATGAAAACGTAAGTGAACTGCACCCCACTGACCCTTGTTTTCTTCCCGCCTTAGGCAGTATGCCCCAAAGTGCTCCGTCTGCGCAGAGCCCATCATGCCTGAGCCTGGCCGTGATGAGACCGTGAGAGTGGTCGCTCTGGACAAGAACTTCCACATGAAGTGTTACAAGTGTGAGGTCAGCTGTTCCTCCTGTCCCCTCAGGAAGGTCACTTTGAGTCTTGGATAAACACAGAAGGGCTGCCCAGTGGGAGGGAAGTGTTCTATTGTGGCATAGATGGGGAGTTGAGTGAGGTTCTAAGAGACAGGAGGTTGGAATGGAATGCAGACAGGACAGGAGAGGCCCCAAGCCTGCACTGGGGTGGTGGGGAGAGGGGACCCTGGAAGCCGAGAGAGACCTAGAAGGTAAAGAGTGGGAACCTGTTGTGGTCAGGAAGACACACATGATCAGGACACCAGCTCTGGGCCATATGAAGCATTTGGCTTTCCTAATTAAAAAAATGAAGCTGAAGACAGGACAGTGAGGTGGAGCAAGGACCTTCTTGGTCAGTGCCCCTCTTACACTTTCTTCTTCCCAGGACTGTGGGAAGCCCCTGTCTGTTGAAGCGGATGACGACGGCTGCTTCCCTCTGGATGGCCATGTGCTTTGTCGGAAGTGCCACGCTGCTAAAGCCCAGACATAATGCGGACAGGCCTCCTTCCAGACTGCAGGTCCATACCCCGTCAATGGCCACCCACATTGAGACCAATCCCTACCTCCACTCGCCCTGAACCTCCCTCCATTCCAAACCCTTCCCTAGTATCCCAAGTGCCCTGACCCAGGGCCCTATTGGCCTAGGGTGTTGAGGCCCAGCCCTGGGCTGCAGTCCTTGCCTATGCTGCAGGGATGGCCCGCTGTCCTCCAGGGTCCCCACCCTAGGGGGCACCAGGCTTAGTGCTGCTGCTTTCACTGCTGCACCAATACCCTTGGCTGGTCTCAGCAGCCTCTGTGCTCTGCTTGCCTAGGCCCGACGAGCCTGGACACCTGCCTCGCACCGTGCTGCCAGGTTGAGGCTACAGCCACAAATTAAAGAACTTGTTTTCCAAAATTTTCAGTAATGGACTCTTTCATAGTGCCTACAACTGTCCAGGTTTGATGGGAGATGAAGATGAAAAGATTAGGAATAGGGATGAAAACCCAGTTCCTGTTTATTTACAAAAATATATATATATGTGTGTATGTCTGTATACATATTAAACCCGCCCCCAGCCCAGCTGTCATTTCACCTCTACACCCCCCCCCCACCTCCCTTTTGAAACAAGGAGGCTCCTGAGTCCAGAGACAGAGTCCTGGAAGAGGGCAGGAGCAGCACCAATAGCCTACATATAGTAGGTTGAGGAAGGGCCCAGGCAGTGACCCTGGCGGCCTGTCCTGAGAACAGTGGTAGGAGAGGGCTGAGGTGTCCTCTTGGTGGCCACTCAGTCTTTAAATCCCTGAATACTGCAAAGAATGCGCTTCTGGTGCCCCGGCAGTGTGATTCCCATCTGCGTCAGGTCCCTGTGGAAGAGAAGCGAGGCATTGAGCCTGGTGGCCCAGCCCCCAGCTGCCGCCCTGTGCCCAGGCCACCCCTTGCCCCAGTGTCCGTACTCAGCCGTCAGCTCCAGCACACACTCCATGGTGTCCAGCCCAGCTGAGCGGAAGTGCAGAATGTAGCGCTTCATACGGATGGACTCCAGCCACTCGGCCACGCTTCGATAAGGGATCCCATCCGAGCCGCTCAGGCTGGGCAAGCGGAGTGTCACCCTGTGGAATATCAGACTGAGTCAGTTCCTGAGGGTTCAGGGGCTGGTTGGAATGGGCCTCGGCATCGCAGCCGGTGGGTGCAGAGATCATCTGGGCTGGGTGGATTAGTCGCCCATTGTCTGAACCCACATCCTGGGCTGTTTCCTGCTGTGGACAGCTGACTGATGGAAGAAAGTAGCTGCCCTGGGAGTCCCTGACAGAAGGGGACCCCAACCAGTCTGTTTGGGCACTTGCCTGGATGCTGGTTCAGGCATGAACCGAGAGGAAGTGGGGGGCAGGAGAGCAGGGGCCCTGTAGTGGGTGTGGTCCCACCTTTTTCCAGGGTGGCTGCAACAACCCACACTTTGCCACCTATTGTTGCGCTCTGACACCCACAATACAATGAGTGTTCCTGTACTAAAGCCAGCCAGAGCCAAAAACCATTAGCAAAGTAAATCTGCTGGGGAGAAACGTCCAACATTCCAGAAAGATTAGCACATGCAGTCTCTAGCGTATGAGGGAACTGTGCTCCAAAAGATAGTTTCAAAAGTTGGAACTTGGAACACTTTTTCGCCCAGAAACAAGGTTATATATGGTGGTTTGATGCAGAGGGCAGTATGCCAGGCTGGTCCACTGATAAAGCACTGGGAGTACAGCCTGGCCTGGCCCAGCTCCTCCCCTACCTTAACCCCTCCCACTTCTTTCTCCACATTCTAGCCATGTTCTTGGTAAAGTACATTTTTGACCCTCTCTCTCTCATGGATGGTTTTGAAAAACTAGTCTCAACAGTTCTCTGCACTGAGGAAGTCCAACCTTCCCAGAGGGTCGGTTCCTGGCACTGACCCCAGCTGCCTCCCCAGCTTCATGGTGGCTGTCCCTGAGCTGGATGCTGCTGTCATCCTGCAATAGCTGCAGTCTTCTGGTCTTCAGCTCCCTGGACCCTCAGATTGGCCCAGTGGTCACAAGGCCTCCCCGGACTCCAAGGCTGTGCCTGCCAGTCCCATCTCAACCTAGTTGTCCAAGCTCCCTCGGGGCACCAGACCATAAGCCCTGCTTTGTCTCCATTGTCCAGCAAGTGCTCCAAAATGGTGCTCCAAAATGGATCCATTTGGTGCTCCAAAATGGATCAAATGTATGAACCTTTCCTCCACATGCAGGATATTTCTGTGAGGAAGGGGATGTATCCAATTCTCAGACTGGGCCACAGAAGCTCCCCAGAGATGTGGCTTTGGCCATAATACAATATAATCAGATCAGAGAGAGATGGTTGCAGGAAGGGTTCTAGGTGAAGGTAGGGAATTGGCGTCAGGCTGTGATTTTCTGTGGGCTTGGTAATTGTGAGCAGACCTCTTTAAGTTGTACCTTTCTAAATTTTCCATGTGCATTCCACTTCAGTGTGCTTGTTTCCTATCTTCAATCAAAATACCATGGAGGTTGGGATCTTATCTCATCAGGGTGGGCTCTCCTCAATGAATCCTGCCTCCCATGCTGGACTCTGTCCAGAGCTCCGCAGGGGCCAACACTTGGTGGATGTAGTGGAGTGCCCATTTCGGTCCTTCCAGATCTGCCCTTTGAGTTCACCTGTCCTTTCCCAGCATGGTTACCTGGGGTCAAAGTTGGCAATGGTCCTCAGGGAGTGAGGGTTGGCAAGCAGTTGTTCCAGATGTGCCCGCAGCTGGAGGAAGTGGGGCCGACGGGCACGATCATATGCCCAGCAGTTCTTCATGAGTTCATACAGAGGGGCAGGGCAGTCCACAGGAGGGGGCAGCCGGTACCCATCCTCAATGCTCTTCATTACCTGTAGCAGGAAACAGGGAGGACAGCCCTAGGGCAGGAAGCTGACCTGCAGGCCTAGGACTAAACTGTGTTCACACAAGTTCACTGCAATATAGCCTCAAAGCAATCCTGACCAGGTTGGGAATAGTAGAGAACATGTTGTGATGTAAAGGGACCAGAGAGAAACTGGGGTTAGGAAAATATTTGCAAGAAAGGACCATGGGAGGGATTTGAGAGGGGACAAGCGATGTGAAGCAGGGGTGACATGGGGAAGAATGTTCCAGACTTACCTCCTGATTGCTCATCTCCCCATAGGGCTTGTCACCAAAGCTCAGCACCTCCCACATCACAATCCCAAAACTCCACACGTCACTTGCCGTGGTGAAGATCCGATGGGCAATGGCTTCAGGGGCTGTCCAGCGGATGGGGATCTTTCCACCCTAGGAAGGCATGGGACAGAAAAGTGAAGTGCTTTAGGGCATGAACAGGGGTGAAAAACCACAAGCGATAACAACACCACCACAAAAAAAAAAAAAAAAAAAAAAAGACGTGGGATGGGGATAGAAGGTTATTGTGTCTCAGGAGCACAAACACTTGTAACTCTACAGGTGTAACTGTATGGTTGATGGGTGATGGTGAATATGGACATGTACACGGTGCATACTTGTCTCTAACCTGTGTTTCATAGGTACCATCAAAGTCGTCCAGGAGGCGGGTCAGGCCGAAGTCAGACACCTTGCAGCACAGGTTCTGACTCACCAAGATGTTCCTGGCAGCCAGGTCCCGATGGACATAATTGTGGTCACTGAGGTAGTTCATGCCAGCTGCTATGCCCTGCAGCATGGCCACCAGCTGCCCAGGGGCCAGCTGGTCCTCCCGTTCCTGCAGCAGGATGAGTGGGTGAGTTGGGGGATGAGCAGGACCTCCTTTCCCAAGGCTCAGGGCTCCATGGTACAACCCCCTCCCCAGCTGGTCCTCCACCTTCCTCACCTTCAGGAAGGCATCCAGGGCTCCATTCTCCATAAACTCTGTGATGATCATGATGGGCTTTCCTGAGACAGAGCGCATGCCATCACCCCAGAGCCAGGCTTCCTGCCCTTGGTAGCACACCCTCCACTGCTGGTGGTGTTACTCCCTCCTTCCCTCGCCCCCCTGCTCATACTCTTTGTGATGACGCCCTCCAGATGCAGAATATGTGGGTGGTTGAACTGGCCCATGATAGTTGCCTCTCGAAGGAAGTTCCACCACTGGCCATCTGGGGACGTGTCTTTCAAGGTCTTAATGGCCACAGTCTTGCAGTCCTGGCTGGGGAGCCTCAGAGTTCCTCGATATACTTCCCCAAACTCTCCTGGTGGAAACAAAACAAGGTTGTGGTCTGGGGCACTGTCAGGCTGCCCCAGGGTCAGGCAGTGACCCTTTCCTGTCCTCTGGCCCTCCCCTTCTCTGGGGGCACAGAAATGTGGAGTGCACCTCCTGGGTCAGGGATTAGTCTGTCTCTCCTAGGGAAGGGACAATCTGGAGCCAGCGCGGATCTCTGCTACCTGGTCCCACTGTCTTCTGGTGTCAGTGCACTCCTTGGCTTGTGGTAGGTGCTCACTAAATGCCGGGGAAATGGGCCCTGTGCCGTGGGGCCGCTGTGTTTGTCAAGAGCAGGCCCGAGTGGCGGGGGAGGCTGATCCTTGCTGCCTTTTCCCATGAGCTCCCTGGTCACGGCTCAGCTGGCTTGGCTGCACAACTGGCAAGGACACTGCCAAGCTTTGTTCTCTGCTCAGATCCATTTCCTCTGGTGACCTACAGGATCAGGGCAGCCCAAGGACACTGGGCCCCTGATGGGGTGGAACGCTGGGAGGCTCTGAATCTCTCCCACTTTGGGGAACCGTCTGAGAACAGCCTGAGCCCTAGAAGGCAACACCTCTATGGGCAGAGATGATTTGTTTATCAGAAAACTCACAACCCCAGAGCAAAGTGTGCGGCAAGGAAGGTCGGCTCCAAGGCTCCTGATACGGGGAGTTCTGACATGAATGCCGCAGCTCAGAGTGGACACAGGGCAGAGCGAGTGTGAACTCATCTGGGAACTCTGGGACCAGAGGAGAGGCCAGCTTGGGGTCCCCAGGGAAGGCCCGAAGGAAGCGGCCTGCTGGCAGCTCTGTGCTACCACACGGAGAGGACCAGCTGTGGAACACCAAGGAGATCACCTTCCCCGATGACGGTGTCCACGATCAGCCAGGCTGGATCAAGCTCCTGAGTGAAGTCCAGGGCTCCCTGCGCAGGGTCCTCATAGGCCTGGAGGTCCACGTAGGGCTTCAGCCACAGCTTGTCCTCTGTGGGAGGACAGGGGGCTCAGCAATAGCAGCGTCCCCTTCAGGGCTTGGGAGTATGGAGGGGGTGAGGAGGAAGGGGCTGACAACTGAGCCCACTCCTCCCACACTTCTCTGCTGCCCGAGGTGAACCCTGGCTCAAGTGGAGGACAGTCTCTATTCGTAGCAATGAAGTCTGCCTGGCCTAGCTTTCTTCTTCCGGTCTACCTCCAAGCTCCCCTCCTCACTCCTCAGGGTCCACAGCAGGGGTCAGGACCCAAGCCTGGACAGCGAATTTGCTGCCAACTTGTTACCCAATCTTCCTATGGCTCATGACCTGGCCTCAGACCCCAGGCCCCTCCAGTCAGTCACACCTCATTCATTCCCAGATGAAGCCTTCCTCTCACTCCAGCCACTTGGATGGACCACAGATTTCCCTTTGGCAAGGCCACCTAATGAGGTGACAAGCAGGAAGCCCACAGGCCTCAGAGGACCCCAATCCCCCGCCTGACTGGCGTTGGTCTCCGCTTACAGACCTGGCCACCATCGTGGGGAAGGCTCAGGGCCCAGCGCGGCAGTGCAGCAGCACCAGTGCCAGCAGCTAACTGCACCCGAGCCGCGATGGACCATCTGGGCAGAGTTAATTAACCAACGTTAATTAGGTGGCAAAACACGAGAGCCCTAGGGACAATAAACCCCACTTGCACGCCCCAAGCTGAGCTGGCAGATGTGGGTCCCTCGTTTGTGTCCCAGTGGCCACACACACACACACACACACACACCAGCATGCATGGGTACTGCTGGCTCACCTCGATCCACATCAGTGCGGCGGTCCCGATGCCTCTGCTGCCGTTGTCGCTGGACTCTCCTGTGGGAGTGGAGCAGCTCCTTCAGGGTCCCAGGACCACGTGTGTGGCCCAATGGGCTCTGGCTGAATTTACCCCAGAAACAACAGGGGTTGGGTGTGCAGGATGGGAGTGGGGCCACCTTGAGCTTTGGAGCTAGAGGATGGGAGGGTCATCAGGGCTATAGTCAGGGCTTCTGACCAGACACAGGGACCCAGGATGGGTGAGCAGGGAAGAGGCAGGAGCCAGCACCTTGAATGGAAGACGTGAAGAATCCCAATCAGCAGAGCTACAACAAGCAGCAACCCAAAGATGATGGCCACAATCTCTCCTCCAGTCAGGCTCCTGGAAACTGTAGACACAGATGGCGAAGAAGTCCGGCGTTCAGAGTTCACAGGGGTGATGGGAATTAAAAGGCAGTTAATATGTGCTATGTGTCTGTTCCCCACACCAGGGAGATGGGGTGTGTAGAGAAGAGGAATAGGAGCAGAGGTGCTTCTATGGGATGACAGGGGGATGTGTCTGGGGCAGAACAAGAGAGAACCCACCTGGCGGGCTTGTCCGAAACTCATGGTCAGGGGAGAAAGGGCCAGGGCCCAATGGGGTCAGCATTCGAACTCTGACGATGTACGTGGTATCTGGCTGCAGTTTTGTCAGCAAGACCCTGGGTTCTAGAACCATCTGGTGCCATTCTTCATCCTGCGGGTGAGACTTGTGTTAAAGGGGCTGTGCTGAGCCAGCCCCTGGAAGTGTTGGAACATGTGGGGAGAGGCTAACTAGCAAGGTAAACCCAGAAGGTTTGTCCTGAGAAAGTCACAGTTTGCTGTGGGTGCTTTCCCCATCCCACAGCCTGGGCTAGGAACGTTGGGGTGTGCCCAGGCAAGGACACCAGAGGCATCTCCCAGCAGCGTCCTGACCTGGTTCAGCACGTGCAGCTCATAGCTCAGGTTGCCCCCAGGACTGCGGGGCCGGGACCCTGCCCAGGTCAGCTCCAGCTGCCTTGGTTCTTTCTTCACCAGCCTCAGAGACAGGCCCGAGAGTGACTCTGACAGTCCGGAGGGACAGACATGGATTTGGAAGGAAAGAGGGAATAACTTAAGTAGCATTTCAACTGCTTCCTCCCCATCCCTCATGCCTGTGGTCCTAGGTCCTCTGTTTGCTCCAGGTGCCTCACCTGCATGCCCCATGTTGATGCTGAGGGCGGCACCAGTGGGCGGGTGGGAGCTGCCCAGCCCTGACACTCCGTTTTGGGATTTGATGTTAAAGGTGTAGTTGGCATTGGGTTCAAGGCCATCGACTTGCACAGTAGGCGTGGTGAGCCCCTTGGCGCTAGGGGAGAAGCGCACGCCTGTCCCACAGGGCTGACAGGGACCCCTCTCCTGTGCTGGACCCTGACACTGCAAACATTCCACACTGTATGTGACGTCTTGGCGTCCTCCCATATCTGTGGGGGGTTCCCAATGCAGGGAGAGCTGAGTCCCCGATGCAGAGAAGCTCAGGTTTTGTGGAGCCGATGGGGGACCTGTGGGAGAAGAGCCATCTGTAGGTGCCAGCTTTGCTCTCACCCAGGCTGCTGACTCCCACCCCCACCACAATTCCCAAAGTCCTCCAAAGCCTTCGTAGAGAGAGACTTGACTTCTACTGAAGAGAAAGTGACAGAAGCACATTTCCGTGTTTTCCCAGGGAAAGCAGGAGACAGGGGAGGGGCTAAAGCAAGCGCCTGTCATCCTGGCAGTCTCCAATATCTGATAAGCTCTAGAAAATTCTGATTCAAACAAGGGCTCAGCAGAGGTCAAGGGTCTCTTCCCAGACGACTGTGCCCTGCCCCATGGACTCACGTGTGCATGCCATCTGGGAGTCCTCCCCAGGGGCTCGGTAATGGCCGTTCTCACAGGTACAGATGGTGGCCCCCTCAGACGGGGCTGTGCTGTGCAGGGGGCACTTGAGACAATGGGGTGTGTCCATGTCCGTCCGGTAGGAGCCCTTAGGGCAGGCTGGAGAGAGGATGAAGTGGAGTCAGTTTCCCAGTGTAGAACTAAAGGCACCCCTCTCTCCACTCCAATCCCTTATACCGGAAACACCTCTGCAAATGTGTCCCCTGGGCTCTTAGGCTAAAAGTCACCGGATGGAGCACTGGCTTACTTCCCTGCCTTGGCACCCAGGAGGCCCTCCCAGTGGCCCTTGAGGATTCACACCATGTCCTTCCTTACCAGTGCATTCCACACCACTGCTGCCTTCCTCGTAGCCAGGCTCGCAGTGACACCTGCCCACTGGCACCAACCACTCGCCATCGGGGCTGCAGTGCATGCGGGGCACGCCCGAAGGCCCAGAGCTGGCCTGTGAGTGGGGCAGGCAGGTCCCCGCCACTTCTACCAACCCACCAGGACCAGGGAGAGTGTCAGGGAATTGGGCCAAGCCATGCACAGCCTCAGGACAGCGCTGGTAGAACACCCGCACAGACACCAAGGCCACACAAGCACCAGGGTTGTGGAAAGCAAGGTAGAGGCCGCGGCGAGTCAGGCGGCCCAAAGAGCAGCGCTCGACGTTCAGCTTCACAGCGCCAGATGCAAGGTCTCGAATGGTGAAGCTCTGGTCTGCAGCCACCGTGGTTACCTGGGAGGAAGGGTGAGAGAAGAGGCAGTGACAGCAGAGCCATGCTTCATCCCACGGAACAGGAGAGCTTCCCTAACCTGGAAATCCGAAATCCGAAATGTTCCCAAACAAAAAACTTTTTGAGGACCTACATGATGCCACAAAT